TGAACAGAACACTATCCCTCTAAATATTTGAAATATCTAGTTCCTGCAGCATTTAAAAATGAAACCATATCTAGTTTTTGTTCACAAAATCTTTGCCGTAGTTTTTGAAGAGAATGGAAATTTAAACGCGACGAATTAAGTGCATGTGTGGAATAGATATCATATCTCGAAATAGCTGTTGAAACGAAAACGAAATGGGTATGAAAATTTTTAAGATATGCCAGATGTTCCAAAATGTTTGTGACATTTTTTATTTTGCATATAGAGTAGGGTAGGTGTGATTAAAACAGTCCGTGAAAAATACACGGGATTTTTTAATAAAAGTAATTTGAATTTTGTTTATTTTAATTTTTGATTTTTCAATTCACCGAGTGCCGGCGCGACCAGGTTGTATGGGGGTTGACCCAGCTCATGCTCTTGAGAAATTTCTGCTGAACGTGCAAAGTTGCAGTGGAATTTGTTTATACTTTATCATAGATATTCTTGTTCAGCGCATTGGGCTGATCACGAATATCACCTTTCCAGCCTCAGGAAACCTTCCCTCGCTGAGAAAACTTCAAAATACTGAAAAGGTCCAAAAATAGGACTTTTTTGTTCATTTTGCGAAAACCTACGCCGTTTCGTGAGTTTTTGCCTTAGAGTGTCGGGCCTGGTCTCATTCGATGTCCCGTTCAAAACTGATTTTAGCCAAGTTATTTTCAAGTCTCCAAAACCAAAACTGAAAGTTTGGTTTTCATACCCATTTCGTTTTCGTTTCAACAGATATTTCGAGATATGATATCTCTTCCACACATGTATCATTCTCTCAAAAAAGATTTACTTTGCAGCTTTCTTCAATGAGTTACCCCCGCCGGCCTGCACGATTTAGTTCCCTATAATACAAAATGGAGAAAAAAATTTCTTTTTCGAAAAGTTAAGGATTTAGTTCCCTATAATTTAGTTCCCTGTGTTTTAGTTCTCTATATCAATTAATTTGTTAAAAAAAGAAAAGAAAAATAGCTTGATTGCTAATCTAATTAAGAAAGGAGAAAGTATAACAGAATAAAAGAGTCAGAATAAAATCAAAATGAACAGAACACTATCCCTCTAAATATTTGAAATATCTAGTTCCTGCAGCATTTAAAAATGAAACCATATCTAGTTTTTGTTCACAAAATCTTTGCCATAATTTCTGAAGAGAATTTTCAGCTATTTGTTGATTACGACGTCGTTTTGGCTGTGGTGCACCCATATGGTCTCAGATACTACTGAATGTACCAAGTGATTGTTCTTGACGCAGTAAATCAATTGTACAATAAATATTTGGATGAGCTGATGTAGAACGTTTTTTCCATTTTAAATGGCGACCTTCAACATGATTGGTGGTACGTGGTGAAAACTTCATGAAATGATTGTAGGTTGGTGGTGGAAAACTACTAAATGCACCATATGTATCATGAAAATATTGTAAAAATGATGTCAATTGTGGATAATTTGGCTTATTTTGCATTAAGTAATTAAAATCAAATATCATGTGAGTAAGTGGTAATAACGAAACAGCAGCAAATGACCTAAACCATGTACGCACCTACTCATCATCTTTGTATGCTGACTGTAAGCCTAAAACAAGAAGCAACTGTTAGAATTATTATACTACAAGAAAGCACCTATGTACCTAAATTCTGGAATTTTCGAAACAAATTTTGCCCAAAATGGAATAAACAATATTTGACTTCAACGTATGGGAAATGTTTTGTGAATACATTAGCAACAGTCAGTTCAAAATCAATTGTAACACGACGTAATCGTACACATAAATTCATTTGTATCGTATGGTTAAATAATATTTCAAACATACCACTATATAGTTCTTCAGATTTACCAGGTAATAAACAAAATACGTATGGTGCCATAAGACCATCATCATTATAACCATAGACAGAATAAATTTGGTAAAATATTGATGGACACACATAAAACGTTCCATCACAATACTACATTTCGCTTTAAGATAAATATAAAATATCACTTGGTGTTGAAAATATAATACATCGCGAACCAGCTATTGGACCATCATACAATATAAATTGTTCACCACTTTGACTCTTTTGATAGTTGAGTGGAATTGGATATGGTAAGTCATTAATATTCTTCGGAAGTGGTTCTCTCGTTTTACGACGTTCTTTCTGAAGATTGTTCTTCATTGTTGCAATTGATGGTAATTGAATTAAAAGATCTTGACTCACGGTTGGACTTTGAAGATTGGCATATGCTTCATCGACGATACTATCAATTGGTGAGGATGATTCAACAACTTTACGTTTTAAATTTTGACGTACATTCAGTACTTCTTTTTCAGTTTCATTTGGTGTATGATCATGATCAGCACTTCTTCTAATTGTACCATTTGCATATGTGGTTATGCCAACACGACAATGTTTCTTAAAACATTTCCAATATTTTGAATCATCTGCATTTGTATGATGACAATAATAACGGTAGCCTTCATAACATAAATGAGTTTTGCCGTGAGTTGATTGTACAAATTCTATTTTTGACATGATTATGGTTTATAAAGTTTAGACTGGAAGATTGGTGAGGTGCTATATTATCCATCGCTTTATATATCTATTTCTGATAACATTACGTACACTATTTAATTTTCTTTACATTACATACATTGTTCAGCTTAATTTATATTAAACACATTGTTTACCTACCTTTACATTGTATATATTAATTCGTCGGGTTTAAATTTCCATTCTCTTCAAAAACTACGGCAAAGATTTTGTGAACAAAAACTAGATATGGTTTCATTTTTAAATGCTGCAGGAACTAGATATTTCAAATATTTAGAGGGATAGTGTTCTGTTCA